TGTTGTTAAGAGGATCATCAGAAAAGTTCTTAGTCTTCTTCAAGTGATGAAATAGTAGATACCGGTCATAACAATAGAAGAGACTTGTCATTACGATAGAAGATACTGGTCATAACAATAGAAGATACTGGTCATAACAATAGAAGAGACTGGTCCCCGGTGCGAGCGAGCTTCCACGTGGCGAACGATAAATTTAGACACGGGTGAGAGCATGCTGTATTCCTGGCTCCGGCACTTCCTGGAATCCTATTTTTGATACGTATATTCTTCCTCGGACGCGATTCGCATGACTTAGGGTTATGGAAGGAGGGGGAGGGGAATTTTTGCCGACTCGCTGCCAAACCAAGCAATCGAGTCTGGCACGGTTTCACGCAGATGTTCTCGCGAAGGAGAGAACTGGCATTTTCCTAACCCAAAAATGGACGTTTCTTAATGTAGGGTTGCTTGACTTTTTGAACACTCTGTATATATTTTGCATTCGTTTTCAGGGTATCCGCTGGATTTTTATACCATCCAGTGAGGTAAAATTGCATGACTCCGTATTTTTTTTTGTTGCGACACGCACAGAATTCACGATTCCATCTTTTCACCCTCACTCTCCTGAATGGTATTTCTTGTTCAATGGTGCATATCCGGATTCTCGTGCGGAAGAAAGCTTTATAAGAGATGGCGTGACTGAATATATGCACAGCTCGCTGACTCAGCCGAGTGAACACTCCAATTAAAATTGTGGAGGCGCTTGACAGAGCCTTAGCGGGTGGCCTGCTCCATTCTCATTGTAACAACTCGATGCATGTTCTTGATGACTATAATTGGTAAGGCTGTATTATTGGCTGCCTTAGGCTCTGGATGATCCAAGGAATAAGACTTGCATGTGCAATGCTGCACAATGAGGATAGAATACTATACCATTCACTTGATAAAATTTTTAATGCATTTGAATCACAAAGGCACCACACGTGAGACGATGAAAGATTGGCAATCGTGAATGCATAATATGTGCAAAAAGCCATGAAGATACCTTCCTAAGAAGGATAAATTTCAATTTCACATTGGAGCTTCAAGTGAGAATATAATCTTACAAGAATGCATTCCACATCACACAATACATTGTAACACGTGCTGGATCTGAAGGCCTTGTTGCCTTCTCTCGCTCATAGTTTTCTTCCACTTGGCCTATCTTTCCAGCTGAATGGATGGTGAGGGCAGCTGACAAATTCACAATAGTATCAAAATGATAATAAAAAAATTATCTGGATAGAGAATCTCTCGACAGTCTTCAAACATGTAACTGCCCAATATTTCTGACATACTTGCAGAATTTTAGAGATAAGAATACAATCCTAGTAACTGAAAGGGTCTGAATATGACCTCACTAGGAAAGCAATGTTTTTATAACATTTCATAATGAAAATGGTTACAAGACTAAGAAGCAAATTGGTATCAATGGTGGGGATTGACTGGTAACTGTTGAACTGGACCCAAGTAAGTGAGGATAAAGGCTCCTGAAAAGCATCTTTGGGTGTGGTACAGATGGGTTCCCATCAGCAGAATGGGAAAGGTTAGTTCTTTCACATGAAGGCACCCCACAGCAGCATGGTAGCAGCAATGAATGAAGGTCCTGCATCATGGTCATCATGGATGCTGGAAGTGGCTGAAAGCCCTCCTGTTCGAGGGCTTCACATCCAATTCATTCTGATTGAAGAAATGGATGGGTTGTGCAACACATCGCAACATCACGACACCTAGAAGAGCATTAGGTCAATGCTGGAATGCCAAAGGTTACTGTCTCTTGAGAAATGGGCTAGAACCAACCTGAAGGATTAATCTCCACAGTCATCTTTTTATGTTGTAGCAGAACTCCAAGGTCAAGTTGTGCAAAAAGGTCCTGGAGGAAAAAAGTAATAATAAAATAATAAAATTCTAAACAAGTACAGGACTACACAACACAACCAAAGTCCAGAATTTCACACAAAACCATATATCGTTGTATCATTATTTACAAAGCCAAACTGCATTTAAGTTGGAATCTCATTGAATTCTGCATGCACCAGTGAAATATTCTCAACAGTTTACTTCTACCAAGCATTCTCCTTGGACACAGACAGACACTGGCCAACTATTTGAGTGGGAGATTTATTGAATGTAAAAGAGAGCTGGAGAATGCAGATACCAAGAGAAGTCATATTGTTACATGAGCTTTAACCCTATCTGATGCTACGTTCAGTAGGACTGGACATTGCCCATAGTGGAAAGCAACTGAGGAAGTCTGCTGTGCTTGCATCAGTTTGCCAAGAAAAATGGATTGCAAAGGGTTGTGTGGGCAACACTTCGCAATTAAGATAGGCAAGTTTCTCAAGGCATCCAAGTACAAATAATTGTTTCCAGTGGATGTGGAGGCATGAAACCTTTCTGGTATCAACATATGCTGAAACCTTTAGATGAAATTTGCAGATCAAAGGAAAAAGATAATATTGTTCAAGTCAAACTTCAATCAGGATATTGAAATTTAATTAATTTAATACAAAGGGTAGCAAGTTGGCAGGAGATAATAAATGGTATCATGGTGAGTAACTTCTAAAGATACCTACCTCATTAGAGTAGCACAGAAACTCACACTAGACTAAAGATCAAAGTCACTGTTGCCCCTTTGCAGCATTCCATAACTTCTATTGGTATCTATAACTCTTTAAATATATGAGAAGAGAACCAACTAAATGGTCAGCTCATATTCCATTGGTACTCTTCTGCCATTTCAGTCCTGACACCAAGCTTATTTTTCCTTAAGGGAGAACTTAAAGGAAAACATGTATGCCTTGTGGGCCATGTTGCTTCCAGAATTAAGAAGCTTCAAAAGAAATGTACCTATGTCAAATTTTGAGACCACCTTCAAACAGTCATAGGGAAAATAATTAATTTCAAGTTTTGCACTGCATGAATTAATTAGAGTTATCTGAAATTTAGGTAATCAGAAATTGGCTTTGCTCCCCCCTCCCCCATAATCCACATACATTGTGCATTTCCAGAATCAGCCTGTTCTTTGTACTACTTGTGCACCCAATAGAATTATAATTAGGGGGTTTCCCCTGTTGTACAAGACCTACTGAATATTTTCTGGAGTTTTATTTGAAATGAAAAAAATCCTAAGATTATCTACAAAAACAGAAAGTAAAAGTTCTTTCTGAAAGAACTTATGCATATGCAAGTTTATACCTATGCATATGCAAGTTACTTTCTTCATATGCAAGTCAAAGAAAAACCATTTTTAGTCATTTATTTAGAATTTGAAAATTTACAAAGAGTTTTACAATTGCAGATGGTATTGATGTAGCCTGTAGCATTCCCTTACTCTGATACGGTAGCCACTTGGATTGTCCATTCCTATCTCTTGGAGGGTGACTGAGACTTCTGTTGGGGTTCCATCAGTGCGACGGTTTACAAAGGCAACAGCATAGGAGTATCTCCTACCAATAACCGGGGTGACAGGACGGGCCCAAATCTCAATTCCTCTGGCCTGTGTGGAAACAACAGAATAAATTTAAGTTGGTGCAAAATAATTTTTGAAAACTTGTGACATGGTATAATGAGCAGAGAAGCCATAATTCTACCTTCATTCAGGCTGATAAAAAAATAAAGTACAAAGTAAGCAAGATGTGGTAATTAAAAAGATTCTATATGCTAAAGACAAGTCATCTTGTCCCTTAACAATGCCTGTAAAATAAAAAAATGCATATAAAAATAAAATAACAACATTATAATATCCATGAAGTATTTACATTTATATCTTTACAGAATCAGAATTCCTCCCAACAACCTCACAATTTATTTTTTATCACTCTACTTAAAGAAATTCATTAAATCAACATGGAAGACTGTTTTGCAGCAAAGCATCTTTGTGTGAATTGATAGAGCAAGTAAAGTGGCATAAATGGGAGAACTGGGATTATACTTTGTTCAAGGCATTTCCTGATAGGGGATGGGGGTGATACCGATATCCTTCTAACAGCCCTGATCTACCCAGTGCTAACCTACTCTTCTGACAACCCCCTTCCCTTGGGTTATGCTACTGGCTCAAGCTCAAGCTCATGCCACTTCCTGACTTGCTATGTATGGACAAGAGTTTAGATCAAAGTTGGGGTTCTTCAGCTCCCCTTGCTATGCCACTGCATGTCATGTATGTCCCCACTTTCACTTAATAAGGTCAACACTTCATGTACTACATTTTTAAGTGGGGTACATCAGTGATCTGTTCTTGGTCCATGCTTTTTTTTGCATCTATTTTGATGACTGACATTAGTAATTTTAAAATGATTTGTTCTGCATCCTTCCTCTCAGAGCAACTCACTTCATCACACCCCACCCATCTAATTAGAATAAAGCAGAGGGGGTACCCAAATCATTGATACTTTAGCATACCTGCTCCAAAATTGCCAGGTATATAACTGGGATCAATTATACAAACCAGAATGTAAGTTGCTTACTAAAAACTCTATTTATTATTTTTTTTTTTACCAATTACTTCTTTTTTTTTTGTTTAACACACAGTGGTTTATGTGAAAAGAAATTATGAAAATTTCCTGCATGGTATAAGGATAAATTTATAAAACATAGACATACAGGAACAATCATAACTTGCAAGAAAATTGTTGTTTCTTCACTAGGGGCACTAAAAGTACCCAAAGTATAGTATGAGGGTTAAATAAATATTCAACTCAAGCCCAAGTCTTTGTGCACCCCCCTCCTCCCCACTGCCATCCTCTCAAGGGTACAGTCCAGAATTTGAAAGCTGGTAATGCACGAGATTATGAAAAGTATGGTAAAATCTGTCAATTTGCACATGATACTGAGGTGACTTTGTGATGGAAAAACAAAAAATAAGAGAAGAGTGAAGGAAGACCTTTCATAAAAGACTGGAAGAGTATATGGTAAATAAAGTTCAACCAGAGCATGCATAACATTTGAGTCTAAAAGCAAAAAATGAATTACAATTTTCTCCATAGCTAATTCATTAAATGTGAGGAAGTAGAGGGACTTGGGCATCGTACCCTGAAGATGCGCTTCCCTTGAATTCCAAGTGGATCCTGGCTGACTTGTATGATATCACTATTTTGTAAGATGGCTTTATACTCAGGTCTAATTGTTCGCAGATCCACAGACATCAGAAGTGGAGCAGCCAGGATTGCCCAAAGTGCCATCTGCACCTTGCTCTCTTCATAACTCAGTCCAAAGTCTCCAATGATCAGCTGGTCACATGTCAGGGCAGAGAGTTCCATAAAGAAGATCAATTTTTTTTTTTCTATCGTTCAGACACAGACAGTAGCACTAATTCCTTGCAGTGAAGAAGGCAGCATGAAAGGAAGTAATGAGATGAACATATTAAACATCAAGAAAGACTGTGTGAACTGGAAAATCAGTTACAAATTTGTCAAGTTTACTTTTATTTTGGTTAGGTGAAGTATATGTGATAGATGAAGCCTCAACTTTCTAAGTTTCTAGGTAGCAGGTGCCACAGATCTGCTCAATCCTCAATCTTTCATCTAGCCATCTCACAACTTCATACAATGCCACTTACTTCATTTTTAACTCAAGAGAAACTGGCATAAACCCACCATATCAGGGTCATTCCAATGTCCTGGGCCAGCATTTGGTACAAGGGACTCCTGATTATCACCATAGTAGTCTACTATTTTTAGTACACTTCCCCATGAGTCTTCAATGTCACCATAATTTCGCCACAGATTGCACATTGATCGGATCGCTGTGTAATTTGGCTGCAGATAATCAAGTCAAGATCAGTCTCACTAAAACATCCAAATTAAAGTGCAATATAGCAGTACCTTACTCCACAGATCCAGAGGTTTAAGGGGTTATTATCCATTTCTTAGACAGTGAAGATCCCAAATTGGGATTTATATTAACATTAAATTTTTTTTTTTCATGGGAAGGGAACCAATCCCGAGAATGAAAATAATTAGAATAAATTACCTTTCTTTTTATGAAGTATGATCCACAGGCTTGAATAATTCTCATCAATCAAGATGCTCAATGTACATCTTAGTGTTCAATACATACAATGTTTTAAAATTGTACTATGGTCTAGTAGAACAATAATAAATTTTTACAATTTGCTTGGGTCTCCTTCAAGAGGTGAAGTAGATTTCTTCCTGGATATAACAATACAGAGACATGCATAGGAGCTCTCATGACATCTATCATTCAGTTGTTCCTGAATGCCAAAATGAAAGGGGCAATGGACAGAATTTATTGAAGACAGAAGGAGCATCAAGGCAAGAGATTAAATGCATGACCTACCTGATTATGTCCTTCTCTTAAGATTTGTCATTTTGTGGAGTAGGTTTAGGTTTATGCATGCTTTGCACGAAACTTCTAAAAAATACTCAAAATAAACAAATTTAGATCTTGGTTTGATTCTATGCATAAATCATGTCTCTCAGTAATCTGTCTAGCCACCATTCACCATACAAAAGGAAGAGAGGAGTTCTAGTCATCCTGCAAGTTCTCAGGTGCAATCTGAATGCACAAGCATCTGTCATCATGGATAATACTAGACCCCACAAATCAGTCTAGGTCCCAGATGACTTTCCAAACATTCACAGGAGTTTCTGCCAGCATATTCTCCTTTCTTGATTCCGACAGAATTTCCTCAAATGACCCATCAGAAGTGCTTTGCATGGTTTCACCATACACAAACATACTTGATCAGATGCCAAAGGAGAGAATGTATTGATGGGTAGAATCAGTGTCAATGTCCAAGCGCTTTGCTTTACATAATAAAAAATAATGCTTATTTGCCAAAAATACCATGTGTTTGTGCCCTTTTCTTCCCTATTCCTCATAACCATGTTAATTACCAAAAATAGGAGATTCCCTTGTGTTGCCAAAATTTAATGGGAAAACTGGGAGGAGAGAGGAGTGTTGCCAAAATTGAAAGGACTTACGCTGAAATTCATCAGGGAAAATCTATATTATATTAATCATTTGGATATGAAGATTTTTTTGCTAGTTAATGTGCTTCAACACAAAAAAGGAATCCTATTACTTTGAGACATTCTGCATTCTGGTACATTCATAGGATGAACTATACTAAATTAAGTAATATTCATTATTTTTGCATGAAGCTCAGAGCGATATGCATAACGTTATGAGCCAGACACATTTGTAATGATATGCAAAAATCAGTGCAAATGAATGGAGTTAGCAGATACTTATACAGTACTTGGGATAGCAGATCCCAGTGCTATATAGTAGTAAGGGACTGAGTGCTTTGCATCAAATAAATCTCATTACAACTACTCAGAAAAGAAACTGACACTTCATGACACTATGTTGGTGGGTCAAAATATTCCAGAAGTAAAATATGCAAACCTGGATTCCATGGGCCATCTGATATTGTGGCCAAGAACAAGAGTAGACAATAGGCCTTCCTGTCCGGTTCAAGTAATGCCCAAATTCTGGATACCCTAGAAATGTCAAGTGTCATGTCAACTAAAATTTAATTCATATAAATTCACTACTATTATCTCTTCCTAAAAATGCATAGGTTTTTCAAAAGACCAGAATGCATTTATCAGGTATTCTGTCAGCATATCAGTGGTAGGTGATCTCCTTCCATCCATGACAATGAATTATGGAATCATCATGAGTATCAAGAACATAGACGATAAGGTAATAGCATGCTATGAAGGTGGATGGTGCAGAAGCTTTTTACCAGATTGCTACACAGAAGCAATTTACTTTGTGTGTCAAACAAAGTCCTGAAAAGAAGCATTTGCAGAGTGATGATTTGCTTTTAGGCTTCTGGGAGTTTCTCTGGTGTGCAGGATAAGTGCTAGATGGATATGACTGGTGGAATAGGTTTGGACTGGGGCATACACAAAAACAGAGGGAGGTTCAAGCGGATATGACAAGGTGAAAATCTAAAAACTTTTCTTTCCGTACAACTTCTGAGGACTCTGAGGGAAAGAATAATTTACTACTTACTGGAGGAAGATAAAGAACCTTAAATGAGGGTTGGGGCCTTGGCCTTGGTCTAGCTCCAGCCAGATCCATGACTGAGACCAAGCATCTACAGAGATCAATGCCAGGTGTCTCCACAAGGCAATGAGGTACAATCTTACATCTCTTAATCTCAGATGGTACAGGAGTCATGGTATCTGCCTGTGCCAGGACATTGAATGATCTATGATGATTTTTTAAAACGATAACAAAAACCCATTGTCCTATCTCCATGCTTGGGTCTTGGAGAGTTTCAAGAGATGACAGAGAACGTGGTAAGAGATATATGTATAAAGACTTCAAGGTTTCTGTGACCTAAATGAAGAAAAGTATGCTTTTTCAATCAGTTTCAGTTATAAATATTTCATACTATATTAAAATGCGAGCATTTCAAATAGTGAAGCTTTCGAGCAATGGAAATCACAAAAATGATAATGCTGTTGATTTGAAAAGTTTAGAACATATTTGGAAAAAACCCTACTCCTTCCTAAGATCATGAAATAAAAGCATGGCAGTGTTTTCTACAAGAACATCAATAGTAGACAACTGCATTTAGATTTTATTATGTACAATATGAAAGCAATCACCTGAATGACCTATGAATGAATGGATCACTAGAGGTTGTTTTATCTAGCACAATGCCTTTGGTGAATATGAAGGAAATAAATGCATTGATTCAAATGCTAAATGGATATGTAAATAATTTAGAAAAGAAGTTATCAAATTCAAAACTCATCAATGTTACGATAAACTTAAAAATCACAAGTTTACAGCAGAAAGAGAACTATAAATTTCAACATGAAGGATTAAAGCACTCAGCACACAATTAATTATTACTTCATGGAAGAAGAGAGGTATTTTTACTCTCATAAAATGGGGAAATAGTGCACAGCTTCCAACATGATGCCTGACATAGATGCAACTTACAGCCTGCAGAGGGTCCTCAAGGTTTTCAAGTAAGGGTCAGGAAAAACATTTCCCTACCAGTTACTGAGGGTCTATAGACACTTTGAAAGATGAAATTTCCAACAAGAAACTGTAGCTGTATCTGTAGAAAATGATCTTACAAAGAGTAACTCAGAGTTTGAAATGTATCTATTTTTACATATATTTTAATATAATTTCAATATATTAAAATACATTTTTTACTTGGTAAATATATATATATATAGTGTCATAAGCCTTTCATTGAATTAATATCATACCTTGATCCATATCCTTGGGATCTGAATGGCAGCCATCAAGCTTGATATAATCAACACCCCATGAAGCTAATGTGTAGGCATCCACTTCCAAGTGTCCTAAGACACCAGGATATCCAGCACAAGTGAAATCCCCATAGTCCTCATAGATTCCAAAGAGAAGTCCTTTTGAATGCACCTACAAATGAAGAAAAAGCTGAAGATGAATTTGTGAAGCTGAGCAAATCATACCATAGTTCAGGACAGGGGGAAAATCTAATAGGAACATACATAATCAGCCAATCCCTTTATGCCACTTGGAAATCTTTGAGGATCAGCTTGCAATCGACCATAAGTATCCCTTTCTCTGGCAAGCCAGCAATCATCCACTATTATATATTTGTATCCAGCCTCAGCATAACCTTCTGATACCATCAAATCTGCCATTGTCTTCATGAGATGTTCACTGCAAGTAGAAAATGAAAGAAATTGCTTATGAATTGACCTACAGTAGAAAGAGCAATTTGCAGTTAGTGTCTATTGGCCAGTTCCAAAACAAGGCTTATTGCAGGAACAAACTAGGATTATGCAGGCATTTTTGGGGATTAGGACATGAAAATTAGCTTAGCTTAGATTTAAATTTTTATTATCACCTGACATTGTGAATGGAAACTTATTTCAAAGTTCATCATTCCTGACCTGATACAATTCTCAGGGTCGTTGACACAGTCTGTATTACATTGGAAGCGTTCCCATGATAGCCATCCCATAGGTGGTGTAAGTGCAAGCCCATTGTCCAAGGCAGAACTCACAGAGGCTAATATCACAGCTGATACCAGGATCACCCAGGGATTATTCATGGTTCCCTCACCTGGAAAATTGGCAAGAGCACAAATATATTAGGCATATGCTAGGGTTATATCAATTGGAATTCTTGTAATAATAATAAAAAACAAGATAATCCCACAAGTTTTTGCATTTATCAAGTGTTGCACCCACCCATTTAACTAGGTAGTCACCCAGTTCTATGAAATTAAAATACACATGTTATTCTCTGCTAAAGGAAGTGTCCAGCCCTCTCATGGAGGGAAGGAAGCACTTCCTTCAGTAAGACATAAATAAATAATTTACAGTGCATTGAAATGTTTTATTCACCATTATAAAATGTTTTTCACTTGAGTTATACAATTTTCTCTTGACTCAGACACATGTGCATTGGACTTCTATATGCATGAGTGTCGAAGTCAGGTAAAAAAGAGTCTAACTGAACTGAAAAACACTGTACTCTGACGTGACTGCCTTGAAATGCAACAGGTTCATTTTGAATAGGAGAAGCAAACTTAAATTTTCACTTTCCATCCTGGCTTCGTCTCAGCCTTCACATGCTATGTGTAATATCAGCCATTACAGTATTTTTTTAACTTGAGTTAGACAATATTTCACTTGACTCAGACACACGTGCATGGGAAGTTCCTCATGCATGAGTGTCGAACTGAAGTGAAAAACACAGTATTAGGTCATTAGCTTAGGCTACGCCTCCACTCAGGGGGACGAATCAATGAATCGTAGGTAGGCTAGGCTATGGGATAAGACATATCTTATCTCTATTTATAGCATGGGAGAACGAACTTCAAAGTTTTTCTTTTTTTATTTGCGTTCAACGCCCATTTACAAATTTCCCGTACATAAATGCTGTTGTCATGGGGTATCGTGTCGAACTCAACCGGAAAAGCTCTAGCCCAAGCCAATGAGTGTAGAATCACCCGGCGAAGGTATCCAGGCAACAAGCAGCCAAACCGCACGTGGCGGTATGGGCGTCGTGATGTCATGAGGATCAGACGATACTCTGCTCACGATCTGTATCCGATTGGCCGAGAAGAGGGCCATCGTTCGCTCGCTCTCACCACAGATTGGTTCTTGAATCGTGCCAGAGATTGCAGCCTGTCGCATGACCAAGTCTGAAAGTGGTCCTCAGGTCAGGGTGAAGGTCTGCTGCCTGGGAATCGTAATTTCTCTCGAAAACTGAAGAAAGCAGCTATGGATTTGCATATCATGCACGTGTGCATGACGGAACGAAAGAGTGCTCCAGGATACTTTAAAAGATGAGCCACGTCTCCCTTTCTGTGAGCTGGTTGTAAGCTTTGATTGTGGAAGCAGGTGACAGTTTGCAGTGAATTCGGAACGGCTTCGTACGTTTTTCAATGGACCCAATGGAGTTTTCGATAAGATGCTTGGGAGCACAGTAAACTAGAAAATGCATGAGTTTAATGTACGATGCAGATGCAAACAATGCAAACTTTCCCTTTATTGTAATCGTGACCGACGATCTGTACAAATTGGGAGCCAAACGAAAGTTGTTGAAAAATCTTGAACACATACTCTTTTATGTACCGCAGAACCCCCAGAACGGTTCGCACCAAACCCGAAGGACACAAGGGACGGCGGTGGGATCTTCACCTTCCCTTTCTCCCTTCCACTGCTCCCCCCTATAATATCCTTAAGGTCAGGGGTGTCAAATTCAAATCGGTCGGCGGGCCGCATTCATAATTCTTCACCGAAATTTGTGGTAACAGTCAATCCAAGCGAAAATCTCAAGAACGACCGGCGGGCCGGATGAACCACCCCTGCTTTAGGCTTTAGGCAATGACAAGGGTCTGGAGACCTCTTGAGGTGTGGGATATTTGGAAGACGGTCCCTTTTCTCGATTGTTTCACTTTTCCAGGGTGGAGCCATGGATTAGCTGATTCCCGTCTTTGTCAACACTTGAAAAGTATTTGTTGCGTGGGTAAAATTAAAGAGAAGCTCCTTTCTACAACCTGCAGATTTCCGGTGAATACCAATTACATTAAATTTAAAAATCTGCCATTTCCAAAGAGGTGAAATTCTCCGTTTTAGAGAGCCTTTACCTCACCACCCTTATACAGTATATGACCATGAACTGTGGGTAATGATCGATGGAATCAGGTCACGGTTACAAGCTACCTCGACGAGGTTCTTGGGGCGTGTGACTGGTGCTGAAAACTTACGCCGAGAGAGAGGATATGGAGTGCGGCCATCAGTGACTGCATCCAGGTCGAGGAACTACTTCTGAGTACCGACAGATGTCAAACCCTATTGTTCCGACACGTCTCTCCTAAGACTCCAGATCCAAAATGACCGACAGAAGACCAGTCGGTAGGCATCGTGCAAGGTAGGCGGACTACATCGCGAAGATTTACCATAAGGGGCTCGGTATTGAACCTGCCGAGCTCGAGCCCGTTTCCCAGGATCGGGAACACTGGAGGACGCTTCTCCGTCTTCTCGAGCCATCAAGTTGGGATAGCTTCGATAATGAATGAATGAATGAACGTCTAAAGCAGTTGCGTGCGCGACTACCTCAAGGGCGTAAAGGCCATCCGAGGGCTGCTCCTTTCGGTGTCTTTCTTGGTCTAAAAAAAATTATGGTTTTGGTTGCAAAAAAAAAATTATAATAAAAACACTAAATTTCCTATTTTTCCAAAATAAGGCGCCCAGAGGATCCAGCGGCGCAGCGGTGGGGGGATCAGAGGGCACGTGTCTTCCCACTTATCAAAATGAGACAAAGGAAGGAAAAGACGCATGAAATGCATGAGAACAGGATGCAGAGCTACTGTGGCCCCCTCCCCCTTTTCCATCCACGCTTCGCTTATAGGAGGATCTATTGCCAAATGATAATATATAATGAATTATGAAATGTTGCGTGTTCCCATGTTATTCTGAATGAGAAGTTTCTGGTCGGTCAAGTTTCAAAAATCGAGGTCGAGCGTATCCAAAACGAGAGACCTTTAAATTCTGCATTCCATCTAACCCGTCCAACTTCGTCATGATGGTATATGTCCGAAGGCTCGAGGGATCAAGAAACAATTCCCGCTTGATGGAGAGACATGATGATCCCTGGTTGGTTTAAAGCAGACTCCCCGAGCATAAAGTGGCCAGCGACTCCCACTTTTTTCCCTCCCTCTCTACTGGTATATACCGGGTGGCCCCCCAAAAGTTCCGAATTTCGTGCGGCTGCAGACTGAACACCATGCTCAGCATCGTCTTGAAATTTTCAGTGTCATACCCAATATAAGTATGTGGATTTAGGAAATTTTCAATGAAATTCCTTGCTCTGAACATGAGTAAGAGCTCTTTCCGTAAAAGTCATAAAAAATGAGCAAATTTGTCAGTGCGTTTGCTGGCGTGCTGCCTCGGCGGGCAATCCAAGGACACATCCATGGAGGACCCATCAAGCTATACTTTCATTGAGTTCAGGCGCGTTCCTTTGCACACTCGCTCTTATGACATCGCGCAGGAGAAAAATTGTTACTCACGTAATTTACAACCAATTTCAATGAAAATTTTGTTACATTACCTGCAAACATTGCATGTTAAAGCCTGTAAATTTCCTGTCGATAACTCATATAGTACACCGTCTGTAGGCGTGTAAAGTTCGGAACTTTTTTTTTGGACCACCCGGTATATATGAACCACTTAAAATTTGTGCAACACTTGCTAACACCATCGACTTAATTCATAATGAAAAAACATTAAATATGCCAACATTGAGTCAACATGATCTAGTTCAAAGAACGAACATGTATCTCCATTAGGCAACTGATGGTCTACAGTTTATTACAATTTTTCAGACTCCCAGGATACAGTGCTTTATTTCAGCAGTTTTCAGCAGCATTTATGGCTGATTAAAGTGAAAAAATACACATGATAAGGAAATCATCATTGGATGGCAATGTTAGTGATCAAATACTCAGCAGGTGATTCAGATTGCAAAGTTGAATATATTCTTTAAGAATCATAATCAATCAATGAAAGTGGGAGTGAAAATAATGAGAGCAACAGCAGTGAGGTTGCACCTGCTATTGGCTATGAGCTTTTGAGGCAGCCAGATGTGTTATTCTTCTGGACAAGAGCAGCTGAAATAATTTTTCTTTCAAGAAACAATATTATCTCCAAACCCATTTAACTTTAGGTAATCATAGGAATGCAATGAGATGCAAGCACTGGAAATACACAATGGCAAAATATCACACTCTTCTTTCAGCAGGTGTTCTATGCATGTGCATCTTGTAGAAATCACAAGTGAAGGCACAAATGCTGGATAATAATGAGAAATGCATGAAACATATAACAAGTATACAAAAAAGTTCACATCGTTTGATTTCTACATTTGTGTTAAGTCATACAGATGCAATATGGAAAATCATTAGTACCACTCTTCCCTGATCTAATGCACTTCATTTCAAAATAATATACCAATTTGGTCTTATGCTATAATTTTTGCCATGCAAGGTTAAAAATTGCAGTTGTGTGCACATCATTTTCTTTCACAAGCTAATACCAAAGTCCTTCAAGTATAGGTTCAGGGAGATTGAGAAAAGGTGGGCTAGGCTGATAGCAATTTTTGAAGCACAAAAGGTCACCTTATTGTAGAAGAACATAATAACTATTTGTAATATTTCCATAGATAAAATAAATTTTCTTTAGTATAGACGGAGCAAAAGGGTGCACGTACACACGTGCACAAACACACACACACACACACACACACATGCAAAAACATCATGGCACCTTCCACTTCCATTGAAGGTTATTTGTCCCTGATTCATTTTAGTGACTCTCTTTGGAGTTAAGCAGTTGAACCCTTGGAGCTAAGGGTATCACTCAGAAAATACATGTAATGTCAATCAGAACTTATTAGGATATTCACTTTCCTCTCCTTGCCATATCTTACAGGCTGTATGAATGGGGTGGAGAGCTGAAAACCTCCCAATGGCATCAAAGAGGTAATAAAAATCAAGAAAAGGAGTCTCCTGAAAGGCCATTGTGATATTTCTTATTGTAGCCTGCCTACTCATTTTCTCTACAAATTACATCAAGTCTACAAGAATTTAGTAACTTTCTGAATTTGACTGGAGCAGGAAAATGACAGTCTCCATTACATTCTGCAACAAATGCCTGCTTGACTAAGTTCTAATAAACATACAGAAATCACTGGTAGAAATTCATACACTGGTATGAAGTAACAGGTAGCCACTGATGGGGACCTACACAATCTAGCACAAAGACTTTTGGATGATATCTTAAACAAGCATCGACTGGCACTTCAGTTGACGTAGTTGACAGTAAAATGAAGAGGCACAGAGTCAGTCAATTAATTTGTCAAGTATAAAACAGAGGGGGTGAATCCTGGAAAAGGAAAAGTTCTCTGTACTTTCACAAGGAGGCACCATAAGATAGCAACAAATGAAAGGCTTATGGTATCACATGCATAAGAGCAGGTTGCAGGTTGGAACATCTCCAGACAAAGAAGAGTCAAGCATCCAATTCATTCTCATGGAAGAGATATGTGGGCTGAACATCACAACGCACCATCACAACACCTGAAAAATATTTAGTCATTGAGGGATAGTCAAGACTTGTGTTACTTTCTTCTAGATTAAAGATATAGAATTTATTCAACAAACCAGAAGGATTAACATCCACAATCAGCTTTCCATGTGGCAGCAGGAATCCAAGGTCATGGTCTGCAAACAGTTCCTGGGAAACAAAATAAACAAAAATGGAGACATAGAAAAGGAAAATAAATAGAACATGGGATTCAAGGTGAGATGATATTTCTCTAAGTATCTGTCCTTACTGTTATCCTGTAGCCACTTGGACTGTCCAGTCCCAGATCTTGGAGGGTGACAGAGACGTCTGTTGGGGTCCCATCTGTGCGACGGTTGAGGAAGGCAAGAGCAAAGGAGTGCTTCTCGCCGTTGACTGGATTTATGGGACGGGCCCAGATCTCAATGCCTCGGTCCTGTTGCAAAAAAAATAATTTAATTAAGTAATTATTAAAACATGCCATTTGCATTAAGGGGGAAACCAGACTGTGGAAATGTGGTCTAGTTAACCCTCTCAGACCAGGAGTCAGTAGAGATGAGCAAAGGAAACAAAGTCTCAAGCAGCCCTAAGGTCAAACTGAGCAGCAACATACAGGGTGTCCCAGAAACCCCACCCAAAGTTTCGTATCATTTGAAAGCCTAGACCTTTCTTAATAACTGCTGTTAAACCTGATGGTTCGTGATTACTGGTTGTGAGGCTTTTTGAAAGAGGAGTATGCTACAAAACCCCTAACATCCTTGATCTCATCAGTGCCATTCACTTGGTCTCAGTCTCAGTCTCCGTTCAAACTGGGGGAGAGGTTTCTGGGATGCAGGGATTAAAAGCAGGGATTCAATCTTTTTGCCAAAGAAATTGGTTCCCATTCTGATCACGACACATACGGCATCGCCGGGGAAAGTCATCCACTGCTTTCTGGTACATGTCCAATGCACATTATGGCATTCAGTTTGGTGGAAATGGCACTAATGAGGTCAGGGATGTTAGGGGTTTTGTAACACACATCTTCTCTTTCAAAAAACTCCACAACCAGCAATCACGAGCCATCAGCTTTAACAGCAGTTATTAAGAAAAGTCTAGGCTTTCAAATGATACAAAACTCATTTCTATCAGAAAGAAAATAATGACATAATAATGTACAAAACTTTGGGTGGGGTTTCTGGGACACCCTGTATGATTAATAGTCAAGCAGGAGGGCACAGGGGAATGACAACTGGCATACCTCTTCCACAAGCTTTGGGAATGTAAAATTTTTAATACACAATGTAACTCTCATGACAAACCCATGCAGGCAAACAGTAGTTTATACCTTCCAGAGTGATACCCTTGTGAGTTTACAATTCACATTTCTATCCTTCATGATGCTGTGAATTTTCCTACTCATCAGCTTCTTTACATGTATAGAAACAAAGCAAATTGAAGGATACAAAATGTGGATGCTTAAGAAAGATGCAGTAATGCCAAGTCTTTTGTGTCACTGGATGGATCATGGTTTCCTATGCATATTCTATTTTCAAAAGCAACCAAGAGAGGAAGGTATCTCACAGCAAGGATCAGGGCCATATCTAGGATATCATTTTGGGGGGGGGTTGAGGTCTGTGCCATGGCTTTTTTTTAATACTTGTCATTGTAAGTCTTTGTGACATATCTGGATTTTCCTGCAAGTTGCAGTGTTTAATAAGTCATAAGCTATTAAAGATAGAAAAGACCAAGTACTGCAACGTTTACACTGACGAATAGCAGTAAGGAAGATATTTCAGGGGGGGTTTGAACCCCATGAACCCCCCCCCTAAATATGGCCTTGGCAAGGATACATGAAGTATTCATGCATATGAATAAAATGAATGTCCACTATATGCTAGGCAAAACATGCTAGGCATGACCCAAACATATTTACCTTAAATATGCGTCTTCCTTGAATGCCAAGAGAATCCTGGCTGACTTGAATGATACCCTTGTTCTGCAAGATGGCCTTATACTCGGGTCGAATGGTACGTAGGTCTGCAGAAATCAGGAGTGGAGCAGCCAGAATTGCCCAAAGTGCCATCTGCGCCTTGCTCTCTTCATAGCTTAGTCCAAAATTCCCAATGATCAGCTGGTCAAATAAACAGGCAAAGTGAGAGAAAAGGTCAGTGTCTCTCCTCTGTAATCTTTTGTAGCTTCAAGCAAGACACAAATATTAAAATCACCATATCTGGGTCATTCCAGTGTCCTGGGCCAGCATGAGGTGCAATTGAATCTTGATTATCACCATAGTAGTCCAATATTTCCAGGACACTTGCCCATGAGTCATCGATGTCATCATAGTTTCGCCACAAGTTGCATACTGACTTGATTGCTGTGTAATTTGGCTGCAGAGAATTTGGGGTAATGAGACTTGGAAGAATATTCAAATACAAGTAATGTAACACCAAAACTACCAGATTAAGGAGGCAAAATGTGGACCAAATTGCCATAAAATCAAACTTTTCAACCATGACAATAAAAATAAATTAACCCCTTTGATGACAAAGTGCCACCATTATGGAAAGTATTCAGCTCTACCTTAGACAACACCTTGCCATCATGCCTAAGGTGAGTTATAGTGTAAGCAGTAGTGTAGTAGCTAGATAATGCTTATGAAATAAAAAATACATGTACAAGTATTACATTATATAATTGATATGTGAACAATTGGGCGTTTTGAAGTAGGAATCTATGGTAAAAATCCTGTAGTGAAAGGGTTTAATGATAGAGCAACAACATTTCAGGTCAACCTCAAATTTGTAGATTTTACAAAGCATAAAGAATTGCTGAATAAATTTTTTCTCAAGAGACTCAGCACCATCACTGACTTAACTTGGAATGCTATCACAGTTGAGCCCCCTTAAAATACAGCAGTGTATGTTTGGGATTTCAAGACAAAATCCAAGTGTTTGCCTGCATATGAATATTATTAAGTTTTCAGCATACAGCCAACAAACTTCAAAGTTTCAAAGTGGCAACATGAGAAAGCCTGATTGCTATCAATTATCTCTGAGATAGGAGCATTGTACTCTTCAGGAGGAGTAGAGGTTGAAAAGAAAAACTAGAAACAGGACTTTTCATGATAACACTCATTTTGCACTATATAGAGCTAGGAGAGTAAGGAGGCCACAGTCCAAAGTACATGTAAATGGCCTAAATGTATGAGATGGTCCAGATTGTGAAACTTAACATTGTAAAAAAATTTTTCAAAGGCAAACTTAAAAACTTCACAAATGAATTGGCACAATATTTTGTCACTGTACTGTATTAGGATGGGAAATACTTCATAAGGACAGCAATATTTTATTGAATTGGCTAATTTTCTTAAGAATTTGAAATGAAACAGTTTTATAAGGTTTCAATTTCCTTACTGTTATTGTTACAATATCAATGGACAAAACTTCATGTAAGCATATAAAGCATGCAAGGTGTCATTGACAAGATGCAAATGTCAGAAAAAATGTCAGTTTTTTTCATGAATCTCATTCAGAATAATAGATGCAACACTTCATCATAATCTCCAGCTGAAGTGTAGGAACCCACAGAGTAATGAAATGGAATGTAGATGTGACAATAAACAGCAAGGTAGGTCACTACGTGCTGTGACTGAGTCTTGCCCCTACTGCACAGTTTAACAAGAAAGGGGTCCAGTTTACTTTTCCTTTAATATACAAATATCCAATAGCAAAAAAGGCTTCATGTTTTACTTACCATGACATTCTAGACAAAGAAGTAAGATTTCTTCCAAGTTTGGAACATTTTCATCCAGTGCTTCAAATGCAATAACTTCTCAAATTTTAAGAATAAAAAATTTTCCCGAACAAGGAATCTGTGAGCTGCTCCTCACCCATTACATTACTTTGACACATTCAACCAAGGCTGAGGACTGGCAGCAAGCTGTCTAAATGATGTTGGTTTCAATAAATTCCTCTTAAATCGTGTCATATTGCGGGCTTTGCAATATTTAAATTAAAGAGTATCAGTTGACTTTATCAAGAGCTTTTCTCTTCACTGAATCCCATGTTGTTCCTACATTGAAAAACATGACTCACAACATGACAAAGCTACAAGAAGGGAGAGTTATGCTTGAGGCCTTAAGAAAAGAATAAAGATAAATTAGTATTAAAAATTTAAACAGAACAAAAGCAACCATAACAAATGATAAGAGGTAAAAAAAAACCAACTACTTAATACTCTGCCTGCTACCAGCACTCAGTCATGTTGAAGCTCACCAAAATAGTGTACCTAGCAAGGAACTGTGTGCAGATCACATACCCACAGCAATCTTCTTGACTTCATACTCGGAAAGTTATTTTGTCCAAAGCACTACATGGAATTTTCTTAAATTGGCAGGAATCTTCCTCATTCATCCAAAATTTCATATGCAGAAAAAATTTTAGTTTATACAATAATGAATGGGGATATTAAAAACAGTAAATTGATCCCCCCTTTTGAAGACATTGTATGTGTGAAGGTTAATATAAGGAAAAGTGAAGATGAGAATGAGATGAAAGAGATTGTGGTAATGAAAAGTGGGTGGGTCAGAAGAATCCAAAACCAAAAGCACCAACCTTCATTCCTGTGGCGACCTGATAGCATGGCCAAGAACAGGAGTAGACAATAGGCCTTTCTGTCCAGTTCAAGTAAAACCCAAATTCTGGGTACCCTAGAAATACCAAAATTTCACTTGGGTCAAATCTTTCATTTAAGAAATCAGACAGTTATACAATGATCTCTCTCCCTATATCAAGGTGTTTCAGCAGGCATAAATGCAATTATATGGTAATCTGTGGCAATGTCAACAGTCAGCAGCCTCCTTTCATTCATAATAATGTATTGAGGAGTCATGACTTTGGGGAATGGAAAGGGGGAGGGGAGAAGGGAATAATATGGACATGATATATGTGACATAGTCTGACGTACCCTAACAGGTCCTCATAGGCTAAATATCAGTATGTCATTACTCTGAAAGGCTGACATCAAATGAAATTTATATTTTTAAATGACAATTTTAATTTTTTCATTCACTCATTCACTTCTTTTATATAATTTAAAAAGGTAGAAATCACCTCTTTCATAGTCCAACAATGCCTATGATCTTAAACCCTTTTGATTATTACTCCGGAGTACTATTTTATGTATAATAAACATCTTACTAATTAAATTTTTGCTTTTTATGAAGTTAAATTTCAACAGCATAATAACATCACTATCAGCACAATAGTCTGGATCAATCATACATTGTTTTAAAGATCATTCTGGCTCCTAAACTAGTCTTGACATTTTTTTCAAAGATAAAAGGGAAAAGAAAATTATAAAAGGGTCCCTGACAAGTAGCATGCAATCTCTTTGCTAGTATATCAAGGTTTCGATGCAGAAGTAATAACTTTGACACTCACCACAACCCACATCATCCATGATTAAAAGCATAATTGCAATTAGAATTTAGCTAGACAAATAAGCTAGCTAAACAAGGAAAACTTAAAATGTTAGCTGGGAAATGTGTAGGACTTCATCAGTTATCAAGGTGGCAGGTTGGTTTTGTGCATTCATAGCCAAAAACAACACCAAGAATGAGTTGAACAATCTTGATTAAATTTGATACACAAGTTTATAGGCAAGGGTCATGCAATCAATTAAAGTTTCAAAGTCATAGAATGATATGATACAGGGAAAGCTTGCTCAGTACAAAAGGAATGAGAGAAGAGGTTTGTGTTATTGATAATGCAAGTTTCCTTATCCTCTTCCCTCAAGCTGCTTTGCTATTGGGCAATCCCTGAATGTCAAACTGAGAAGCTGTGCTAAGATGAAGTATAAAAAGGCAATTTCAACAACTGGCATGATTGCTTAATTAATTTAGGTTAATAGAGATGCTCTGCATGCATTAGCTTGCTGCCATCAGGCTAATGCATGCATCCCAGGTACTGTTCCATTCCCATTTGCACATTCATAGGATTCACATATGTGTGACTGCAACAATTGCCAAAATGGAATTACCCAGTATCTTTAAGCTTTTCAGGACAGTACACTCTAAACAATTTCGAGTAAATGATGAACTCTGGTTGAATGCCTTCATGAATAAGATTCTGCAACATGAGCCCTACCTTGATCCATATCTTTTGGGTTGGCATAGCAGCCATCAATCTTTAGATAATCAACACCCCAAGAAGCAAATGTGTAGGCATCAACATCCAAGTGTCCCAGGATTCCAGGGTAGCCAGCACAGGTGAAGTTTCCATAATCTTCATAGACTCCAAAGAGAAGACCCTTGGAGTGCACCTACAAAAATGAATTTAAAGGCTGAAGGTGAGCAAAAAAGGCAAATCAATCCATATAATTATTAAACTGAGGAAATGAATACCACATGAGCATGCATACATAATCAGCCAAAGCCTTCATGCCACTAGGGAATCGTTGAGGATCAGGCTGCAACCTCCCATAGGCATCCCTTTCCTTGGCAAGCCAGCAATCATCCAAAATTATATATTTGTATCCAGCCTCAGCATAACCTTCTGATGCAACCAGATCAGCCATCGTCTTGAAAAGGTGTTCACTGCAAAGCAGGAAATGAAAGCACTTGTTATATATGTATTTGGCTACAATGCAAAGGGCATGTGCAGGTGACTTATGACCAATGAAGCCATAAAAATTGCATAATTAAAAAGTAGTCATTTCCAGAGAGCTCTTGAGAGAAAATACTGGGAGCCCTTAAGTCATGCTACAGGAAGAACATGTGGAGATTACATGCATAAGTTTTATTGATCATTCCAATAATCAGTCATAAGATTAGAAATTATAATTCAATTATAATTCAATCAGTCATTCAAACACTGCTACTTCTTAATATATCTTAAAGATTTATTTTTTAAATTGAGCTCATGTATGAACAAAACCAGGATTGTTCTTCAAGCATTTACTGGATATATTACAAAGTGATGACAGAAGTACTTCATTCATTATGCATCTCCTGATTTCATATTTGATAAACCCTTTTAAAAAAAATTCCTTGTTTCTGACCTGATACAATGCTCAGGGTCATTGACACAGTCTGTATTACATCGGAACCGTTCCCATGCTAGCCATCCCATGGGAGGTGTACGTGCAAGCCCATTGTCCAAGGCAGAACTCACAGTGGCACATATCACAATAATTGCAGGGACTACCCAGGAATTACTCATGGCTGGTTTGCCTGCAAAGTAGGAATGATATTATTATGTGATGTGGTAGGCAATGGTTAGAAGAATGTCTAATATCAACAATAACTTAAATATAGGCTGAAGCAATTTAAACAGGTTTTTAGGGGGGAAAAATCAAATGCTCAATGCACCTTTATTCCTGTTAATGGTTGGACTCCATTAGCCACTAACTAACAATCTGTCTGCCTCTACATAGAAAAAAAAAGCTATACTTGATCAACTTGAACATTTACATGGAAATCAAGCAGCAGGCCTTATTCCCATGGCCAGATCAAGCGCACCCAAAATAATGATGATCTGACATTGAATTATGCTTAACCTAAGTATGAGACTGCATCGTGGGACATTTGTAATGTGGCTAAATCCCTAGCCTAACAATATCCAAACTACAGATGGTATATGATAGTGGACCTAGAACTAGGCCTAACCTTAGGTCCTAGGATATCACTGTTGATAGAAAACCAATGCAAAACAAGCATCAATAGGTCTATGTATGAAGGGTTGAAAGGAAAACTGGTCAATCTGAAAAAAAAAACTTCGCATCTCAAGTCCCAGAGGGGAAGAATGCATATTCTGTTGACCGTCTCCTGAAAAAGAGGGGAAGTGATTTTTTGCATATGGGCCATTTTTCCACTAACAAATATCCCACAAACGACTATCGTCCATGAAAGTGAAAATGGGCTACATGCATTACATTACATGCTGGGCTACATGCATTACACCAGATATCACTCTCTCGCTTCAGCGTAGCAAACCATACACTTCCCAGTAAGCTAGTCAGACTATCGGAGGAGATAAAATGATAAAGAGTGGTACATAGTACTAGCATGTTCAGATAGGGACGTCAAAGGGCATTTTTGTCCACTAAGACTTCCTATGTCTTGGTCAAGCGCTTATATGGCAAAGACCTACCATACTTAAAGCTACATTGCTCCCTTCTTTGTTTTTTCCATGAAGGCATCTAACCTCTATTCAAAGCTAGTCTATCCTTTACACCTGGAATCACCGGGCAACGGCACCCATGTCTGTTTTTCTCCTTGGTGTTTCTCCTATTGGACTATGCCGGTAGGGCATAGTCCAATAAATTCATTTATTCATATTCAGAACCACGTAAGGCGGCATTTCCATCTTGACGTCATCCAATCAGGCAGCGAAAGTCTTGAGTCCGATTAGTCGCACCAGGACCATCGTCTGCTCGCAACGGTCTTAGATTGGTTCTTGGTTTTGGGTGTAGTCGTCCGTCAACCAGTTGCATCAGTCACGCAGCACAGTCTGTATTAGGTTTAGATTATTGGTATGATTCCAACTGATGGATTTTCATCAACGAAAGTAGTGTAGAAATAATGTAAACATATGACAGTCTCAAGGAAGGGAGTAACATATGTAAATCCTAGATGGTCGATGAGAAGCCAGAGATTTCCTTTGGTAGAGGAAGAAAGTCATACTTTTCGTCCATTGATCGATGAAACAACAGCTTTCATAAGAATAACCGTACCTAAGAACTGTTCGAAACATTATGGGATGTTTCGAACAAAAATCATGGGAGAGGTGAAGAACAAAGCCATCTGGACATCCGATTTTTGGTTGTGATAGCCAGGAAAAGGGCCAGAGATAACTGGATTCGTCGTCGCTTCTGTTTCATTCCGTTAATTATGAACCTCATGATAAATATCACGTGAAATATACAATAGAGAAACAGTCCACGTGAAACGCACATGGGATAATTGACAGTTTAGAAGGAAGCTATCTTTGACGACAGACGACAGGGAGAGCAGCGTGACGTCAGCTATCATCTAAGTTATGGTGATCGAGTTATCAGATATTGGGTACGATACTTAGACCCAGAACGAATCATGACGATCGAGTTACGATGATACTTCGATCATAATCGAAAAGGATACTTAGACCGGGCAAATGGCTTCTTGGTGCTCTTGGGCACAAGCGTTGCGTGGATGGAAAAAGCGTGCGGGGGAGGGGGGGGGGTGAAACTCAAACAGTTCTCATGCATTTCATGTGTACTTCTGACTTGTTATTTTCAAAGTGTGTGTATGGGGGAGGGGAGCCCGTGCCCTCCCCGAGGCTACGCCGCTGCTGCAGTGAGAGCTGTCAGTCTTCCGTCCTTATAAGGGAAAGGCTCGTGATCTAGGTGCTTCACACCGTTTTTGGATTGAATTCGTGCCCTCCCCCACCCCTCTATAGTGGAGAACGGAGAAAACACAACTTCTGCTTTATAAGGTGATGCACGAAACCACCCATGTAGAAGATTTCTCATCTTACAATCGATGGAAGCGCTCCTATGGGGGAGGGGGACGAATTCAATCCGAAATAATGCACTTTCAGATGATCCAGACTATTTTCTTCTTACTCATTAAAGGTCCCAACATAATGGTGTCAAACACAGAGCGGTTGGTTCTTCGAGTCTTCGTCAGGGATGCTGACGTAAAAAAATATAAATCCCTCAAGAGTATTTCTTCAATGAATCCGCTACCTTCGCCCCCAACCTGAACCTGTCAGTGACGATCATGTTCTCATTTCTCCTTTTACGAGTCTATGGACCGGTTCAAGTTCGATCGTTAATGTTCTGGAAAAGAGAAGATGGTGGCATTTATTTATAAAGGAGTTCCTCATGCAATCTGCGGATGAAGTTTATTGGATTCCATGAAATCACCGAAATGAAACAAGACGCAAGCATTGCACACACACAAGGATAGAATATATCATTATCTCGGGGTAATCAAGAGGAACGGGTGAATACCGAGACACCCACACGCACATGAAGGCACCTTCCCGCCGATGTTCTTCAATGACTCAACTTCGCTGCTTCCAACTTATGAAGGTTCTTTGTACATTTTAAAGCACGACACGGCAGCAACAAAATGAAGGCTTCGTGACATCACGGTTGCAGGAATGAGTCGAAACGCCGCCGCTCAAACAAGAATCATACACGACGATAGGTGGGCTGCACGTCACAGCGCACGATCACAACGCCTGAAAGAAGATTAGGTCATCGAGGGATTGCCGAAGCTTAATCGGCGTTTCGTTCGAGAAACGAGTCAGAATCGATTCGACAAACCTGAAGGATTAACATCGACACTCAGCATATCATCCGGTAGCAGGATTCCAAGGTCGCTTTCTTCGTACAGGTCCTAGCAGAAAAAAAAAAGTAAATGCACTTGGAGTTCATCATTATGACGTCATCATTATATATCCTTTCCGCCCGTTTCCTTACGGTGATGTGGTAGCCGGTCTGACTGTCCAGTCCGATATCTTGTAGAATGACGGAGACTTCCGTTGGGGTTCCGTCGGTGCGGCGGTTGACAAAGGCGATGGCATAGGAGTGCTTTTCACCGTTCACCGGGGTTATGGGACGAGCCCAGATCTCGATGCCTTGGTTCTGTGATGGCAAGAAATACCATCTCATGGGGTATAACCAATGAGCGTCTCTGAAATACCTTTGCCTGTATTATGCATGCTAGATGTTGGGATCGGGGGGGGGGGGAAGGGGTTGGGCATATTAAGGGGTGAGCACAGTGACGTGCGCCAGATTTTCGTAAGCTGGTTTGAAACAGGCTCAATCAGTGGCATCTTATCCTCCCGAATCCCGTTTCCTGATTTATTTTTATTCGGATTTTAATGCAGCATCCAATACTTATTCATCGCAGTGGAAAACCTTGTACCTAGATAAACCAAGGAAGCCAGATGAACCTTTAGCAATGAATTTGAAAAAAAAAATTAATTACGATGCTGCTCATTTAAAAATTCCTGTCTGCAAAGTGATCTGGATTCAAGAGGCTATGGGAAGTGAAGAACTGCCAAGGGAAAAGAGGACCAACAGAGATAAAATCGGCACTTACGAATTGATGCAGTTGTTACATATTTCGGATAAGTCACGCATCGCCCCTTTCATAAACCCAGGCAGACATACTATTATTTTTACCCTCGTCAGAAAGTTTAAGCGATGAACCATACTTCCCACTTTCTTTCTATTCCATTTTCAAATACAACCAAGGAAGAAAGACGTCTCGGTGAGGATTCACGAAGCCTCCCCGAGCGCGAACGTGACGGATTCCGCGTCGATCGCAGGGAACGCCGGAACACGACGCGACGAAGCTCACCGCGGAGACGCGTCTCCCTTGGACGCCGAGTGGGTCCTGGTTCACTTCGATGAGGCCCCTGTTCTGCAAGATGGCCTTGTACTCGGGTCGAATCGTTCGCAGGTCCACGGACATCAGGAGTGGGGCGGCCAGGATCGCCCAAATTGCCATCTGCACCTTGCTTTGTTCGTAGCTCAATCCGAAGTTCCCGATGATCAGCTGGTTAAAGAGACAGATATGAAAGATCAGCGTTTTTATTCTACAGTCCGTCCGTAACTCCATTAAAAGCGTTGCGCTCTTAAATATTATTATAATATTTATTATTATTATGATTATTATGTATAATACAGTATTAGCTCACCATATCGGGGTCATTCCAATGTCCCGGGCCGGCATGGGGCACGATCAAATCTTGATTATCACCGTAGTAATCCACTATGTCCATGACGCTTTCCCACGAGTCTTGGATGTCATTATAATTTCGCCACAGGTTGCACGTCGTCTTGATCGCTGTGTAATTGGGCTGCAGAGAATTCGAGACTCGACAGAATATTCAAATATAAGCACTGCAGCATCATACCTACTAGATCAAAGGAGGAGGTGCTTTTAGTAATTTGAGAAAATTGCACTTAAAATGAAATATGCCAGATTACAGGGCAAAAGATTCATTATTCAATCGTGGGACAAGAACTTTATCATGAGGATAAAAATATGAAGTAACACGCTGTGAGTGTACGTTGCCACCACTACACGCGAGGGTTGTAGTATGAGCGACAGCCAGGGAGAGGATGCAGGTGAGTGAGATTTCGGTGGCGAGAAGGGGAGGGTGGGGGGGGAGTGGGGGGGGCGAGGAGAATCCCCAGGAGCGAAAGGCACCAACCTCCATTCCGATGATGATCTGGTAAAACGGCCAAGAGCAGGAATAGACCATGGGCCTTCCTGTCTGGTTCAAGTATTGGCCGAATGCTGGGTAACCTGGAATTACCATATGTTGTGTGTGAGACGAATTTTTCGTGTGGAAAGTCACTCCCGCTTTCAAAATCGTCTCAAATAAATGATAACAATGAAGCTTTCATGACATCATACGCTGTAAAACTTGGAGGTGAGAGAGAATTCTGATGCGTCGAGCACGACTGAAGTCTTTCTAGATGTTTCTCACCTTGATCCATATCTATTGGGTCAGCATAGCAGCCATCGAGCTTCACGTAATCGACATCCCATTCAGCAAACGTGTTGGCGTCCACTTCCAAGTGCCCCAGGATTCCGGGGTAGCCGGCACAGGTGAAATTCCCATAGTCCTCGTAGATTCCGAAGAGAAGACCCTTGGAATGCACCTACGAAACGAAAGGAAAAGCCCAAAAGTCGAAGAAAAAGGGAAACCGAGAACCGGCCGACCGGAAGGAGCTTACGTAATCGGCCAAGGCCTTGATGCCGCTCGGGAATCGGTCGGGGTCGGGCTGCAACCGCCCGTCGGCATCCCTTTCCCCGGCGAGCCAGCAGTCGTCCAAGTTGATGTGATTGTATCCAGCCTCTGCATAGCCCTCCGATACGACTAGATCGGCCATCGTCTTGAACAGGTTTTCGCTTCGGAGTAGAACATTAAGGCGACGGTTACATGCATCGGCATGTGATCGATTGCCGATTCCAAAGATTAATCTCCACACGAAAACAATCGAAACAGTCATTGGTACATTTACTGTGATTAACACAAGGAGACGACAGCCCGATTCGCCCTTCATTCGTCACCCACCCGACCGAGAAAGTCCACACCACGAATCCCTCGTCCCTGACCTGATGCAATTCTCAGGGTCGCCAGCGCAGTCCGTATTACACCTGAACCGCTCCCACGCCAGCCACCCCATGGGAGGCGTCCGTGCGAGCCCGTTCTCCAACGCGGAGCTCACCGTCGCTAATATCACGGTTGATGCGAGGATCGCCCAGGAATTCCTCATGGTTGCTTTGTCTGAAAACAGGCGAAAATTCAATACGCGCTGTGCAGCTGTGAAGAGAGAGCCTGGAGTTAGCTGCCAACTAGCATTAGACTAGAGCAATGCCGGACTGGATTTTGGAGGGAAAATAAAAGCAAATTTTTTTATCTCTGTCAGCGGCCGCCAACCGATAACCATCATTTATCGTACAAGCCTCTCGAGGCGCCCAAGTGCAAGGACCCTGAGGTCCTTTACATGGTATGCTATCGCGATTAAGGGCAAATATAGTCCATCTCCAGAACCAAGAAACGCGTCACGATTTCCTCAAGTGTCGAAACTTGCCGAAACTTCCCAGCGTCAGGAGTAATTGTCACGGATTTCGGGGGTTTGAGGCTTGCCTAGACGTTGAGTCCCACACCCTCCGAGTTGGACTGGTGTATCGAGGACAGACTCCACAGACCCCTTCCCCTTCGAGGACAGACTCCACGAGCCGAAATTCTCGTGAAGCCTTCTGCTCGGGTCCAAGCACAGGAGAAGACGGTTCGTTTCCGGAGGAAGAACCAAGTATTAGTAGTGCCTACGGTCGGAACGACAGAGGGTCGCGAGAAAAGGCGACCGAATAATTAAGACGAGGAACGCCTGGAAAGTGCGATTCGGATTTCAGAGGAGCCGGACGGGTCCCTCCGCCTCCAAGGCTGCACATATTCTCGCTCGTTAGATGGTGCGTTTTCTTCTTCAGAGTGATACCCAATTTATAAACGAACGGGGAGGAGGAGAATAGAAAGAGAAGCGCCGGAAGGGACAAGGATGACAGTTAAAGCCGAGTCGCTGGATCGCGCAGCGTCCGATACGGGAATCCGCTTTCTCGTGGGCGGAGTCCTCGTTCACGCCGAATCTCTGGACGAGGAAAGGTAGAGGGAAAAAAGGAGACTTTGAAGCCGGGAACCTAGGAGAGGCACGATTACGTCACCGGCGCCGCCACCGAGCTCATTCTTTTTGCAATCGGAGAGAAAACGGGATGGTATGCGCGCTGCAACGGTTTTTCCCCGAAAGCACGCAAACCTGCCGAAAACGAAGAGATTCGAGTTTAAGGGCTCAAGTCACGGATACAAATGGCGAAGACGAGGACTATTGCGAGACTGAAACGAGAGACACTCGAGAAACGAACGAAAACGGGAGATAAGAATGTAGACGAGACAGAGACCCTCTTCAAGCGACCTCTGATCCCCCCCAAGATGAGGGGGGGGGGGGGGGGGGGGGGGGGGGGGAGGGGGGGAGATGAGACCCCCGCTCTCATCCACGCGGCTACTTCCTTTTCGCGGCTGCGAAATATCGTGGAAAGTTGATGAGGAAAAAAAAAAAAGGAGATTAGTGCGAGGAGACCCACGAGGAGACCGGCGATAACGGAACAAAGACCGAGATTGCGAACGCGGAGCAGGGAGGAATGACCTGCCGAACTCAAACGAGTCGAGGAGGGCGAAGCGCGCGTAGGAGCAGGAAATGCTGAAAGGAAAAGCTCGATTGGGTATGGGCATTCTCCCGGGAGAATCGCGGAGTGGAGGGTGTTGATCCCGGTGAGGATTCGTGGATCCGAATAACGTTATCGTGTGTAAATATATATGTCTTCCTTCAGCGAAAACCAGGGTCGGACTTGCGGGGTCCCCCCCCCCCCCAATATGCAGACCAAGTCGCACCGGGCACTCTTGTTGACCGGGTGGCCGAGGGTGATTAAAAAAAAATCCACAGTAAGGGGAGAAAGTTTCATTCGTGTATTCGAGTAAAAAAAATATAATATTCAAACACTCTTGATATTGGACATATAGAAGGTGTTGAGAAGATTGTCTTGTTTTTTTTTTTTCTTCCTGAACAATACTCTGAGCCATGCATTATCCCGTTACACAGTTTACTGGTGGAGCATTACACATTTTTTTTTTAAATCACCCTCGGTCACCCGGTCAACAAGAGCCCCCTCTATCGGGAAGCAGCGCCATCTTGCGGAAGTGAATAAAAAACCTCTAAGACTCATGAACCTCTCTGTCAAATATCAGCTGGATCCACCTGTCCCTTGAAAAGTTCATTGGATTCTGAAGCGGTCGAGCACAGGTCGAGCACACCTCTAAGCACCTTTAATTCACCTCTAAATGGGCGACTTAGGCAGGGTGCTGAAAAAAGAAAATTGGCAAGCATTTCAACACCTTGTAAATGTCAAATATCAATTGCATATCCAATGTAATTTTTTTTGCTGCATTTATGAAGCTGTTTCTCCCATAGAAAACGGTAGAGCTTTTTTTTTTTTTAACCACCCTATTCGTATATACCTCGATGCAAGTATCGCAGTCGAATCACGTTGAGATCCCAGATCCACGATCCAAAAGTGAAGCACCACTTCGAGAGCCAGCACGATGACCGCAAAGGAAGGAGAACCTTTGCGTTTCTCCTAAAACCCTAGGGACGAAGCACAGTCGACATTACTCCGAAAAAAAATGTCATTCGTGCGAAAGCTTCCGCTCGATTCACATCAGGCCCTCCTGCTTTCATCGAGCTAATTATGAACCTCACCACGGACCTGGAGCCGCTTCTCTTTATTATCAAAAGTCGAGGAAGGGAAAATGATCCAATTTCCTCGATCAAATCCAGGAAGTCTCACGGAATGAGGCGTGTCACAAATCGTCACAATGTTTTCCTCTTTTGGATATTCCATCAGCTCTCCTCAAGGCACGAGATACTTGCGACCCAAATTCTTCCTTTCTTTTGGCACAACGGAATTCCATAACGAGAACTACTGAACGTAGGCTCTCATGAATATGATAACCTTCCTGGAAGCATCAGTTTCTCGGCTGGGAATATGTTTCTAAGCTCGTTTGCGGCTATCTTGTAAAGCAGTGAAGTACTGGGGCGAACGAGGGAAGGGGTGGAAGGGCAGAAAATTCTCCGCATCGAGATTTTCTCAAAGCAAAACGTCGAAAAAACGAACACGATCGATCTCGTCACTGGCGGAAAAGGCGTTGACATTTCAAAACTGCCAATCCAACTGGAAAATGCCGGCTACTAGGCTGCCTTGTGCACTTCAAAATGTTGACAAGTATAGTGATGGTATGGAGCAATTGAATTGAGTAAAATCCAGATAGAATGGCACCTTCCATGACGTGTCTTGAGATGGGTGCCATAGCTTAGAGGTGCGTCTGCTCTTCTGCAGTTGTGCCTAATGCTCCTCGGATAGGGTACTAATCGTACATCAAGCTATGGTAGCATAGGCTTCATCCATAACTTTTTGGAGACCTTCGAATATTCGACATAAATCCATATGAAATTTAAAGTTCATAGGTTTGGCTTCTATGACCAACGTATCTAGTTAAACTTAGTAAAACTCCTATAGGTAAATCACTCAATAAGCACATCTTGCCGACTTACATACCTCCTGGGTTCTTAGCTGATCTGATCCATGTAGACCAAGAAGGGCACCATGCAAGAAAACATCAAACGATACAGATGTATTTTCGCCGAAATTAAGTGGTGCAAAAGCGCATCCCTAAAACCTGCCATATTTTATGAAGTGGACATTTCATCATCAAACAACTGTCTTAGAGGCACCCTTGAGGATGCCTCTAACTTCTCAAACTTCTCATGCTTAAAAGATCCCATAAACTTCAATCTTCACTGAATATCTAAAAAAAAATTGAAGTTGGTAAGATGGCATTTCCTTGCAAGGAACCTGTCCAGTTTCTGTAGTCTTCAGGTCTGGATGAACTATTCGATATTAAGGAATGGTGAAATAGAAGACATGAATATGTGAGGACAGAATATGATACTTTTCTTTCATAAAATGTTCCATGCATGTGCATCATGAAAGGATCACATGTAAAGCCATGAAATATGGGGTAATCATGAGGAATGCATGAATACGGAGAGGGACACATGCACACATACATAATGGCACCTTCCTACGAAGGGTATTCTTCACTGATTCACCTTTGCTGCTGCAGTTGAACTTAGCAAAGGGTCACATTCATGAAATGCATACCAAATTCTTCCACACAATACACACTGGAACTTGTGCTGGGTTTGAGGGCCTCACTGCCTCTAGTCTGCTTCCATTTGGCCAATCTTTCAAGCCATATGAATGCTGAAGGCAGCTGACAACTTCACAATGGTATCATAAACATAGCAAAAATCAGGATGGGGAATCTCTTGAAAGTCCACTGTGGTATTTCTCCTTGATGCCAGCCCACTCATATTGAATAATTATATGCAAGTCTGCAAGAATACAGTAACTGTTTGCATATGACCTCAGAAGGAATACAGTCTCCATTACATTCTGGAATGAAAATGCCTCCTTGGTTAAGTTCTTAGAAGCATACTGAAATCACTGGCCACATTTCATTCACTGGTATAGAGCAACCAATAACTGTTGAAGTGGACCATGCAATCTAGCACAAAAGTTCTTTAAAGGCATCTTTGGATACGGCACAGTGGGCAATCAGTTGAGAATGGGAGAGTTCTTTGTACTTTCATGAGGAGGCACCATATGGCAGCAATGAATGAAAGCCTTAGGGTATCACGGACGTTGGAATGAGTTGAAAGGCCTGCGATTAGAGAAAAAGAGTCCAGCATCCAATTCATTCTGAGTGAAGAGACGGGTGGGCTGAACGTCACATCGCACGATCACAACACCTGAAAGATCAATGGGTATTTGAAGGAATTCTGCATCATACTTGGTTTTTCTTTTGAGAAAGAAGTCAGAGCTGATTCAACAAACCTGATGGATTAACATCCACAGTCAACCTTCCATGAGGTAGCAGGACTCCAAGATCTCGTTCTGCATACAAGTCCTAGTAAATAAAAGACACAATTAAATGAACATAACATTCAACAATGGGAGATATGGCATTCCTCTGAGTATGCTTCCTTACAGTGATTCGGTAGCCATTTTGATTGTCCAGTCCCATCTCATGAAGGGTGACAGAGACTTCTGTCGGGGTTCCATCAGTGCGACGGTTGACAAAGGCAACACCATAGGAATACTTCCCTGCATGGACTGGGGTTATGGGACGGGCCCAGATCTCGATGCCTTTGTCCTGTCAAGATGAATAAATGCCTCCATGATCTCATTCATTTACAAGGGAGACCAGTCAGAAGAAATGTGGAATGAGAATTTTTCCATGCAAATATTAAAGCCATCACAGTGTAAAGTATTTTGGAATTATGAGCTGTGATCATACCATGTGATTGCAACAAAGACTTAACATCTCTAAGTCATAAATTCTGCATAACCAAACAGCCTGTGCAAAGGTATCTCATTAATATTTCAGAATAATTGATGTCAACTCTTCATATCTACAAGGTAAAGCCTTAAAGCCACTTGATATAAAGCCACTTGATGAATGAACTGAACTCTTGGATGAAAACTATATGCTGCAGCACATTGAAGCATGAAAATCATCAGAACTTTGGGGGATAACATTACACAAAATAACCCATACCTTATAGGGCATAAAGCATATTATTTCTATGGAGTGCTTTCTCAAATGTCCCCCCTAATACTACATCTCAAGTTTCCCTGAGTGACAGTGCATAGCTTTTATGCTAGTATGCAATATACCTATCAAGTAACATTATAAACACCCTTTACCATCCAAAGATGCCAGTGGTTTGATGCTCATATGCAATACAATAATACATTTACAATAATAGAATCTCTACCCATTAGATGTTGCTAAGAAAATGGGAATTTTCCATATTTTATTAGAGAATAACATTTCAGGGGAAACAATGGATATGGAAGTAAGAAGAGATGAAATTATTTGCAACAAAGATCAAAATCTAGATGGGGAAATGTCACTTGTTATTCACTACATTGACAAACTTTATTCCAGCTTCTTCTTTTTGTCCAAATTAAAGAATTGAGATGCATACTATGATTAACACCAATGAGAGGAGATGGGGATCCTGTGACAATGACAACTAGATGTCTCAAGTGGGCAATCCAAAATCACCAAGACATAGCTGCATAAGTGCAACAAACTTTAAGCTCACATCCAAGCAGTCCAGTGTATGAAAATGGCATCAGAAAAAAATCTCATTATATGTTTGCTGGATGAAAAAGCAGAAACTCCCCATGCCCAATGTGATGTCCCACATCATACTGCAAGTGAAAAGTGGGAGGTAATGGAAAATTTTCTTGACCTCCCAGTTAACAGTGTGCACAGAAAGTCTCCATGAATAATAAGTTCTACATAGGGAAAATCAGCCAGAGCAATCAGCATTTGGGATCAGGCACAAGCAAGTTCCACACAAATTTTGGCTCCACAATGTCTCTATCTGATTCTCAATAAGCCAATGTTGATGTGCAATGAAACTCATTCCTACAGTCACAGTAATAATGATAAATAAACAAAAATTTGATGTGAAGCACCCATGAAAGTACTCTGTTGTTTATGAAATATGGAACTTTTCAACAACAAAAAAGATCTGTCATGAATACTTTGTATCATCCATAGTGCTTTGCACATCTTCCTCCTTAGAGCTACTATTAACTAATGGGTAAGGAACAGCTTGGGGGGATCCCAAATATGACAGCATAGCAGAAAGGGTTCCTTTTTTTTTTTTAATAAAATACTTACACCAACCAATTTGGTCATACTACATGGGTTATGCCTTCTCATCAGCATCCATGATTCCAAGGCAGTCTTGGAGGTGTCTAATGGAGGCAACTCATAAATCCTTCATAACTAGGAACATGCTGAATGTGCACTACCTACAGATTTTGATAAATGAAGAGCATGATGTTATGAGATTTACCCTGAAAATGCGTTTTCCTTGAATGCCGAGTGGATCTTGGTTGACTCGAATGATGCCTCTGTTCTGCAAGATGGCCTTATACTCAGGTCGAATTGTTCGCAGGTCCACAGACATCAGGAGTGGAGCAGCCAGGATTGCCCAAAGTGCCATCTGCACCTTGCTCTGCTCATAACTCAGTCCAAAATTCCCAACGATCAGCTGTCATTATAAGTGACAAAGAGAAATAAATGGTCAGCATCTTTCCCCAACAGCTGTCAATATCTCAATTATAAGCACAAATATTGGCTTACCATATCAGGGTCATTCCAGTGTCCTGGACCAGCATTAGGTACAATGAACTCTTGATTATCACCGTAGTAGTCTACTATTTTCATAACACTTGCCCACGAGTCCTGGATATCATCGTAGTTTCGCCACAGGTTGCATACTGACTTGATTGCTGTATAATTTGGCTGTGGAGAGTTCAGAATGGGTCTTACTGAGACATTCAAGTACAGACATAGCAGCACCATACCTTCCAGATCAAGGGGGTGGAACAGATAGCTTCTTGACCAAGACAAAATCAAACATTAGAAATACTTTAAATGCCAATAAATAGAACTGTATCAGTAATTTCTTGAGCTGTAACTTTATCTTCAGAAAAATGAAATATATTAATGAACTACAGGGATTTCACAAAAATTAACCCTTAGTTACTACATATGCAAATTTTTATTATTATTGATCATTTCACTTCCAATAACCATTACACAAACTTGAATGCAGGTCATTGTCATATCTTCATTCAGGCCCACAGGGTCTCATCCATAAGAAGCAAATGATAATATTTTCAAGTTTACATGAACCTCATGCAGATAATTACATGCTAGACTTAATCAACTTCTTAAAGTAAAAAAAAAATTCACCAGTGGGAATGGAATAAAGATGTGACAGCACACAGCATTATAAGTAACCTCATTAAGCAATGGAACAGTGACAGAGAACCATGCAGTGAATAAATCTAGCTACTACTACATGTTAGGGTTAGTAAAAGTAACAGTCATAGTAAGAATCCAGACAAGTGAGGCTGTTGTAGTGAAAAGTGGGTGGGTCAGAAGAATCCACAACCAAAAGGCACCAACCTCCATTCCCATGATGATCTGATAAAACGGCCAAGAGCAAGAGTAGACCATAGGCCTTCCTGTCTGGTTCAAGTAATACCCAAATTCTGGGTACCCTAGAAATACCAAATGTCATGTGAACAGAATCTTTCAATTAAAGGGTCATACTCAGTTTCACCAATACTTTTCCCCCTAGTGTTTCAACACACTTCAATAATATGTATCTGGTCTTCTGTCACCAAGTCAAAAGTCAGTGGCCTCCTTCCATTCTCAGCATATTTCATCCCTCAGGAATGCATTATATAGCCATTTAACATTAAATTTACCTATGATGAAGCCATTTGAATTATATTATTCATATAAGAAAAGTACAACTACTACAATCTGATGAGGCTTAAAGTTCTATACAAAATTTAATAGATTTTGGAATCTCTTGTAAGCTGTGGGTCATTCTATTACAGGTAACATTGCACATACTCACCACAAAATATTTCCAATGGCAGAAATCCCATTTCCACCACATAACTACATGTGGAATGAATAGCTTCATGAAAAGCAAACCAGATGTGCTCCAACTGAAAGTGTTAATTCTCATAAATACCAGTAGTGTCATGAAATGTCAGTCCATGAGATGTATGAATCAACAGTATTATTTTCAGTAGTTTCAATAATGTCAAATTTTTTGTCAGGTTCCATAAATGCATCAAATGGAAGGGACCTTCATGTCCAAGAAGCTGTCAAGAAGTTTCTACAGCATTGTGAAGGACAGGTGGTGCAAGAGGGTAAAGACCACTACTATGACAGAGGGACAGAGAAACAGAAGAAGGTTTGAGGAAGGACTATTGGGGACAGAATAACTGACCGTGATCCCTGCATAGATCTGGTACACAGGCCATGAGCAGGAATAAAGCATGGGTCGACGTGTCTGGAGGAGATAGTGACCGAACTCCGTGTAGCCTGATCAAGGCAAGGACATCCCAGGGATAAGAACAATAACATCCAAATAAGAATGACACAAGGATCATGGAAAGGGAGAGGATAGGTAAATCAAGAAAAGAGGGATCAAAGGTCATGTCTGGATGGTCAAATAGCATCAGGCTTCAGCATAGCCGTGAACTCCATTGCTGCACAAGTACAGGTAAAATTTTATATGTGAACTTGAAAAAAACTAAATGCTGTGGCTAATACCCAAAAAAAAATACAGGAAAAGATATACTCCATAATTAACCCTACAGGACCAGTTTCTTTGGGTATAATAAGAGACAGAGGGAAAATTATGCAGATCACATCTCAATAACTGTATGGGAAAGAGAGTAGGACAATGCCTCACTAAAAGCCCAGAGGGACTCTGCCTGGCCATAGTCATTTGTCAATGCAGCATCTGTTTCAGGCAAAAGATAACAGGAGATCCATCCTTTCATCCATGACTCTCATATCCCCTCTCCCCTCACATACTATTCATGCAACACTTTCCATGTTTTCTCATTTCCTTTCTTTAGAGACTTCTGGCAGTCTTTCTTTGTTTTGCTGATGAATAGCATTTCCACATCCTATTTCCTCTCTCTGCTGAGTACCCCATATCAATAATAAGGCATTTTTCCCAACAAAATTACAGTTCAGAGATTCCTGAAATGATGTCCATGAAACTTGACTTCTAAATCCAAGGCCTGGGGAATTTAAATTCCCATTCCATTCACCTGTTTGGAATTTTTTCCCATTGCACCATGCGAATATCATACGTTGTAATAAGATGTCTCTATCTGGCCTTCATGCGTATACTTATCATCAGCCATATCCATCATGAGAACTCAAATGTTGATGATGCCAAGAGACATCATCCCCAATGGGAGATTTTGACATGACACCTATGAACACCAATCCCAGATAAGGGATTAACATACACAAGAAACCTAACAAAGAGTTGAGAGATGATGAGCACAAGTTAAAACTTTTCAGGTCATTCCATCTCAAAGGACATAAATTCTGAGCAATTAATATAATATAGCAACCACAGAATCATAGGACTAAAAATGATAACCCAAGTGGATGCTCATCTAATTTAAAAATCTCTTGGATGGGAAAGTCAGAGTTCTCCTTTTTCAATTTTGGAAAATGAGGAATTAATTTTAAAAATAAATGGTCCTTGTCGGGCTAAACATCAGCAAGCCTCTCACAGCAGCAAATACTTAACAATTAAAAGTTTATGCTGAATTCTGGTCAATTGCCTTAATAAATGACTTTAGATATTAACTACCTCGATCCATATCTTTGGGATGAGAATAGCAGCCATCAAGTTTCACATAATCAACATCCCAAGAAGCAAATGTGTAGGCATCCACTTCTAAGTGGCCTAGGATTCCAGGGTAGCCAGCACAGGTGAAATTCCCATAGTCCTCATAAATTCCAAAAAGAAGCCCCTTGGAATGCACCTACAAAAATGAATAAAAAGGCCAAAGGTGAGCAAAATGGGGAAATCAATTTGTGTAACTGTTAAACTGAGGAAATGAATGCCATGTGAGCATGCATACATAATCAGCCAAAGCTTTCATGCCACTTGGGAATCTCTGAGGATCAGGCTGCAACCGTCCATAGGCATCCCTTTCCCTGGCAAGCCAGCAGTCATCCACATTGATGTATCTGTATCCAGCATCAGCATAGCCTTCTGATACAACCAGATCAGCCATTGTCTTGAAGAGGTGCTCACTGCAGAGTGGAGAATAAGATTGATAATTACATAAATAAAGTGCAATGAATGAATGGCACAATGTGACAGATGTCCAAGGGTAGTACTATCTATAAATGTATTGTTCTTGGCAGATGGGTATCTTCACATTACAAACAGCTGCTTAGCATGCATTCATTTAGGGTTATCATATAACTCACAACTTTGGGAACTGAAGTCCCATAAAGAATCATTCATTGTTCCTGACCTGATACAATGCTCGGGGTCATTGACACAATCTGTATTACATCGGAAGCGCTCCCATGCTAGCCATCCCATTGGAGGTGTCTGTCCAAGCCCATTGTCCAAGGCAGAACTCACAGTGGCACATATCACAGTTGACACAAGAATCACCCAGGAATTACACATGATTATTTTGCCTGAAAAGAGAAGTAAGAAAGCAAGAATTAAACTAGGATAGGGACTACATAGAGGGATTGGTTGTGGTTACAAATCAAGTCAAGCATAGAACCTAACTATAAATGGTAAGCCTACATTAAAATTGAATAAACTTATCACAGAAGAACACTAACATTGCTGTAATCTAAACATGGTTCTGGGCATAACGTAATAATGTTGGGCAGTTTCATCCTTCCCATGAACAAAGACTTAATGTTCATGAGAAGTATGCAACAGCCCAACAACTTTACCAAGATGCCCAATGCAGGAACAGCCTCTATTAATCACCACATTTTGTACAATACAGATTACATGAAAGTACCATCACATTAGGCTTAAAGCCTGGTCGCTTACTGAAAGCTAAGGTAACCCAACCTCGCCCTTTCCCCTTCCTCCCATCTACATCCAGTCAGCCTGTAACCTATATTCCTAAGGAACTTCTAATCCTACCTGCTGATCCTTTCCGGGAGTCATTTGCCTTAAGGAATTATATTAGTCTGGACATATTCTATACGGTTCTGAGCTTCACTATTGAGGTTCTTCAACCTCTCACATTAATGGAGTGGTACGTACACAGGGATCTCGCTTGTCATGCAAGCCGGGGAGAATCACGCGGCGGAATGCCGACTTCGTTCGTTCCGAACCAGGGTTTCTGCCGCGAGGGCCAAGCTCTACACCAGACGAGTCGTTCACCTGCCTCTAATAATTTAGTCAACATCTGTCGGACTCAAAGTAAATGTGTCGATCTCGGCTGATAACCACTTCACGAAGCAGTAGGCGTAAGTGGAACCGAATGCGAAAACGAGGCTACGAGAGAACCACGCACGAAACAGAATGCACATGTGTGCACGTGCTCCGAGAGGAACAGTGCTGCCGGATGGCCGCAACGATGACAATCTTTTCTCCGAGCACTCAGATAAATGCTTCGATTCGATTAAGAAAGTAAGCGGCGGCAAAGAAACTTTCTCATCTAACCGCCATCCCGGGGCGAGAACCGACCTAAATAATGGCAATACTTTATAATATTCAGGCTTGTTTCCGTGCCAAGGGGCAGCATTCCTGACAGTTGTTCCACGTTGAGTTAACGCGAAAGTCGCATGGGAAGTAAGCCGAGCGAATTCCGTGACATTCACTTCAGAGCCTACTGCACCACTGGCGCTTCTTGATAACATCGGCCATTCCAAGAAGGCAGCACAGATTCAGACAATGCCTACTTGAGATTAACCTACTTTCGGAGCCGGTGCTTACCGGTAGGTTATTCGATTGTTTCCGACCGGCAACAAAGGGGCGTGACAATCGTGTTCGGATTATGCAAAAACCGAGCCACGAAGAAGCACTCGTAAAGAATGGGTAATGGGACGGGCCCCGAGGGGCATCCAAACGCAACGCCCACGTCCCCCCCACCAGCGACGGAACGAGATCGATCATGAGGGAACGGAACGGACTGGTTAATGGAACGAATTGCACGAGAAACATCGCGCCCCGCCGAACGATGTGGTTTTTTCATCGGGGGAAAAGTGTTCAGACCCCCGTCTCTTTCTCTTAAATAGGGAGACTACAGGGTGATGTGGTCAAGATGATTTGAGGTGAGAGGGGCCCTTCAAATCGGATAATTGAAGAGAAAGGGAGCTTCTATACATCTGGCCTCCTTCTTCAATTGCTGTTCCCCCAGACTAACGCGCGACCCCCTACCCTTCATTGACACCTTCATCGTGAAAACAATGCACAAAGAAAAATTCAAATGGCATTTTAATTGCCGTAATCATACGCATATCCGTTTTCATACCTCGTAGGCGTCGCTCTCGGGATTGTGACACAGCGCCACAGGAAGGAAAGCTGACCCGTAATTTCTTTTCTCTCTTTGCACATGGTCGACCGCCGTCGATGCAGAGGCGGATCGGAGGCGTGAACCGGCATTTATTAGCATGAAACGAATGTAGACAACCCGGTCCGACCGTAGACCGAATCGATTCGGTCCACCTGGGAAATGGCGTGACGGGACAATGAAGTCGAAGCACTTTCGTTGTGGAGGAAGCATTCATCATAGCTCTTTCGAAGTGGGGGGGGGGGGCTTAAAAAATGGGTTGACGGACGTCTCACGACCCTGCGTTAATAATAAATTCGAGCATCTTTTGTTCCCAGCCGCGAGTTGCGACACGGTAAACTCCCCGTTGCCGAACGATTCACGGCGAATTCCTCTTAATGGACCCCGCGAGGATCCTGGGCGAACGTCTCGGAATCGGATCGAGGAGTTAAAACGTCGTGAAGAACGCCAGACAAAGTAGGGCAAACGTGATCCGAAGAGAACAAAAGCTCATCGTGCTCTCTCGTCTGAAATTGCGAAACCCTGTCGGAACGCTTTTAACGCTCCGAGTTCCCCGATTAATAAACGGAAAAGGTTCCGGACGAAGCGGACGAAGTGATTATTCAGACGGACGTGGCGGCAATCGCAGAAAATAGCGTCGCAAATATCGCGATGACGCAAAGCCGGAAATGAGTTCTCTCCACCGGGAATGAGATACGAGCTCTGTTGAAAATCGTAAGCCACGACGGCCAACGACTCAAATGAGGCATAATTACATCGCATGACGTAAATACACGAAACGGATCCCCTCCCTCGTGAAGCAGCGACGAAAAGCGTCTCACCCGTTCCCGAGGACACCTTATGACTGGGCTATGGGGGGTAGGGGAGGAGGGGGGGAGGGGAGGGGAGGGGAAGAGGGGAGGGGAGGGGGGGGGGGAGGAGGATCGCCCAAAGGCTTTCTCAAGCGTCCTGACTCCTCCATTCCACATCCATTCCGCCCGATCTGGGGGATTGGAAAAGGCGAATACCTGTACGGGCAATGGCTTTTGGGCGGGGGCTGCTTCGTTTTTATGGGTTTACTTACGAGATGGCCTGTCGTACCTCTACCGGTCGCATCTGAACGTGATCGCTGTATTAAATATCGAAATAATTGTAACGTAACTGTAATGAAAACAAGTGCTAGGTTCCTGTCGGTCACGCACGAGCCACGATGCAAAAAATTGCCCTCCACGAAGTACATGCGAATGAAACAGGTTCAGAGGACAAGTTTTTTTTTTTGTATTTATTTACAACTACTCTCGAGTGCATTCGATGACCGAGCTGCATTCCCGGAACTGCACGTACACGCGTAGCCTTCAATTGGATCGTGACTTTGGCCCGTGCCGTATTACTTTCTCGAATTCCTCTCGCGTTTTGCATCTTCATCACCGTGACGAGAAATCCTGCATTTCATGCAGGATTTCCCCCGCATCCCCTCGCCGCACCGTCCGGGTGGGGGAAAGTCGGGACGACGAGAGAAGGGGAAAGTCCCGGGCATCACAAAAGCCGAGGCATCGCGAACCTCGATCCGTCGAGCGGATGCGAAGCCTCTTCGCAATTTTTCGTACGGGCGCGAGTGATGCAATTGACGAGGCAGTCACTGGCCTTTCTACGCCTGTGGCCAGGCGCGTGGTGTACGGACTCGACTTACGCTCGTCCCGATCGCGGAGGGGGAGGAAGCCTTTTCTTCACACGACCGTTACATCACACGCGAGAGTCCTTTCTTTTCGTCACTTTCTCGTCACCGGTGACTGAGCCGGGAAATTTCCCACGCCGTTCCCCCCCCTTTTCCACCTGGCAAAGGTCCCCGCCGGACCCGCCGATCCCGACGAAAGTGTGACGGTTTCGTCACAGACGGCGCCGGACGCACGTGCCCACCGTCGCTGCGACGCGAGCGAAACCCGTTTCCTCGCATTCCGATTCGGACATCACTTTCCCTTTCCGCCTTTTGTCGCGGAGATCGATGCTTCTGCGGCATCTGGGACACGAACGTGACTCTATTCTCGGATGTCCTCGGTTTATCACACTCGTGCATCTGCTTCTCGACGAACATTTGTCGACGGCTCATTCTTCTGGGTGTTTACAGGGCTTTTGTTTTGTTTTTTTTTTTGCTTTTTTTTTTTGCTCGCTAATCTGCATATGAATTTCGCGAAAGGACGGCCGGGCGATCCCCGAGCGACTCAGAATGAGAAACTCATTCTCCCGTGAAAAATGAAGCGCGATGATATCGGATTTTCCCAGAGCGAAATACGGCCCTTGGCCCCCCCCGACCCCTTGCAAAATCTCATTGAAAGCTCTCCGATAACCTCAAAGAGCAAAGCAATCTACATCGCAATCCAAAAATATTATGGAACGAAGTCATAAAGTGGGTCGAGGCCGACGAACAGCAAATCCTCGCAATCACCTTCGCATTCGCAAAATACCTTTTCGGGTGAGACGTTCTGCAGCCGAGCACCTGCTGCAATCACGCTTGCTCACAGGCAAATAAACGACGTAGCTAACCAACTTAAAGGGCTTACCGCGTCACTTTTCCCCCGCGAAAAATACGGGGCCGGTTGGGAAAATGCTTCGAGCATGCGCTGCCAGTCCGCGATGGTACGCGATGGTAACGTGACGGTAACGCGACGGCACTGCGTGCCTCCGCAGAGCCCGATTTCCCGTTCGTTACGTCACTCCTTTCATTGTTTTGGTCGTCTGGCACGCCCTGTGCGACGCGGTCTTCACGGACGGGACGTGTCGCTCTCGAGTCATTTCTAGCCCCCGGGGCTTTCTACATTCGTAATCGTGAATGGTTTTGGAGAACAGGACTCCCATAATGCATTCAGGAGTGAATTATCAGTCCTTCCTCGTTGCGGTTTCATAACAGTTATCTGAACGAGTTCAAAGGCGTGCGAGAGTCGACGGGTCCCATCTGATGGGAAGATAGAGTTGCCTGTTCGGCCGTAATGAGAATTGGAGTTGCGAGGCTTCACCATAATTGCACCGGGGGAAGGGGGAGAGGGGGGGGGGGGGGAGACTCGAGACGGCCCCCTCGCCCCCGGTCGGGTGAAAGTTCCTGACCCCGGCGCCCCGCTCGATTGTTTCAACATACACACACGAGAGAAAGAGAACAGGAGATACACATAGCGACGGAGGTCTTAATGACACGAATCCCTCGTGAATCGTAATTTTTCATCCTTTCTCTTTTCACGAGTTCGCGGTTCTTGCACAGACGAGATCCTCGCCACGCCCAATCCGAGAGGAAGGCTCCCGTCTTTCCACCTTTCGATCGGCAGCTGCGAGGACGAGCTGCGAGGACGGGCTGCGAGGACGTCGGCCGATTTTCGGGCTCGTTTTCGAGCGTGGGACTTTAGCGGTTTTATTCTCATTCTGTAGGCGAGGTAATGTATGGCATTTTACTCGAGGGCGGACGTACGATTCGACCCGCGAGGGAAGACCTCCGAGTCCCCTCGGGAAACGTGGGTCGGGTACCACCTGGTACACATATTTTTATGCAGTCGAAGGCGCAAAGGATCGCCCGACTCCACCGGCGTCATCCCGAAGACCTCCCCGAAGAGAGAAGAGAGGAAAGAACCGGAGAGGAGTGCACGGTCCCGATCGCTGTCTTGGTAACAGCGGGGTACGAGAAAAATGTACCCCCTCCGTAATTAAATTTCCGGAGCCACGTCCCTGATTTTGGAAAGGTTTTCACCAGGATTCGAAGTTTCGGCCTGATGGCATCGGTTCGATGGCATTCTGCCCTTGACCGTCCCACGGTCGTTTCCATTCGCCTAAGGAATTTCCCCCCCTCTAGCGTGCTCAAATCAGTACAGGTACGGAGGAGAACTTCAAAAGTCAGACCGGTGAGTTTCTCTTCTTCACTAAAAAGTCATGTTGCTACACCATGCACCATGCGCCATGCCCCCCCCCCCCCCCGACCTCTTTCTCTTCCTATCTCAAGAACAACTACAGACGAGACTTTCGCCTCCTGACGACTCCCACAGTGGTATTAGCCATACACGGAGATCCGAGCTCAGTCTAGTTATGGACACAAATGATGCAATCCGCTCTGCATCGGTTGCCTCATAGATGGAAATTTACAACATTCGCTGTTGCGTAGAGTTCTTAGTCGTTCCAAACCTTTTGTACTGTGACGTCATCGTGGTGCTCCGTTCACACCAATGAATTTTCCAATCCAGAAGTCTTGCAATCCGCTTTCGTGTCAAGGGGACACCTGAATGACATCGCGTCTAAAAGTTTGAAAGGGCTATTCACCGAGCTTCATTTTTTTTTAAGAAGAAAAAAGTTAATCTCCTTATGCAATCGCTCGAATGACAGTCAATTCTCCCGTCTCGAACCTCATCGAGTTTTCACCAAAGTCACGAGGGTGATAAACTCGACATCATTTTGACCCCCGCAAAAGCATAATAGCAATAAATATATTATGAAATAAATTCGAAAGACTCGCATAGGAGCAAATGGCCCAGCGGAAACGGCCGTCCCCTTTCACGACGGCTTCAACCCAAGGCGCATCTGTCGTGCTCACGGGAGATGAGGAAAACGAAAAGATGAATTCCTCTTTCATTCTCCTCCCATCCCCTTTTACTCATCATTTATCATTTCTTCTGCATCATCCATAAAAGTACACTCGAGGGAGGCTCGGTACCGGATTTCCTCGGCTTGCCTTTCGAAGTTCAGTCGAAGCCGATGGCCCAATTCGGGAAAGCAAAAAAAAAAAAAGACTGTGAATGGTATTATTAATACATTTCGAAAGGCCAACGCATGTGAATGGCTCGAGGGAAAACGCTCATGGCCTTCACATTGACGATTTCCATTCTCGGACAAGTGATCTCTGATCCGGGACCACGCCCAAAAACATACGAGCGATAGTATCCTCATTCTTCATCCTACCCAGTCATCATTGTTTTCTTTTTCTTCAGGCACCCTAATCAACGGGGAACGAGGCGCGAAACGCCCATCATTTTTCATTAGCTGTAGAGAACAGAACCGAACATATTACTTCCCGATAAGGAAGATTGAGTTTGGTCAACGACTCGAAGGCTCGAGGGTTCTATTAATCAGCCCTTCTGGAATTAATTAGACGAATTCAATACGCTCCAATTAATCAATACTCCGTCCTCGAGGCTCTGATGACTTCATGCCTTCTGTAATGCGCTTTTAGATGGTTTGTGATTCGTGTCGGCTAATTTCTCATT